CTCTAACAAGAAATAATATGAATTTAATCTCATTTATTATTCCTCTGTTCTACTACAAGATGTTAAGCAACGTTTGGCGTTCATATCCAAGTGCCTTGCTGCTCTTCTGTTTCTCTTTTTTCTTCAGAATCTTGCTCTGAGGGCACAGCCATGGAACTTCTGACGTTTGGAACAAAATTGACGTACGCGTCCCATCAAGGTCATGGCTTACAGCGAGCGCTCTACGAGTCTACTTTATATCAACTATAATCTTAATAAGCTGGGAAGCATGCTGTGCGTCAACAAATGTTGTGATTTGTAGATCATGCCTGTAAAAACGGCGTGTACCTGCTGATGCACAAATGTGTTATTATTATTACTAGTTTACAATGAAATAACGTCTTAGCTTACCATAATTTCATTCTTTTCGATAATTAATCCCGACACATTTTATTCAAAGCTATAGGAATATTTAATCATATTATATGAGTCAGGCTTCAGTGGCTTTATCATGCTGCTCAGATATTTCGATAAAGCGTATGTTGGTATGTTCGTGAGGTCTACTATAGTTCTTATAGGGATGTCGACTTTATCAATTTTAGGTATATCATAAAAGTGTGAAATATTACATGACTTGGGATATAGAGCGAATCATAGCGAGACACCAACGGCTGGCTTTGGTTCTTACAAAAGTTGAGTTATCACAGATTTTATTTTATTTTTAATCGTTAGGGAATCCTCTGGATAGATATTTTCATATGGTCCAGTGGAGAGATATTCAAGATCTTTATTGATGTGATCTTTTTTATTCATAACCACTGTTGTTTACCTTTGTGAGCTATTGTGATTGTAATAGATTCGTCCTTCTGAAGCAAATGTAGAGCCTTTAATTCTTCGTTATTATTCACAAATATCGTATGGGTACATAAGTGATGTGAAGGAACCATTTCAAGTTTCTTCCAAAATGCAATAGTACATAAGTTCCAGTAATCTTAACATTACATTTGCCATATTTGCAAAAGAGCAGGCGAAAAAGATAATGATAACAAAATAATAATAAACCGGGTTCTGTATAATTGAGAAGAATAATGAGTTGACTTTAGAGAATAAAAGGGCATTATGGTGTTTTTAGTCAAAATATGGGATGTCCTTTGACGTAATAAATGCGACTCTTTTTCCTGTAGTTGTGCGATTATTGGTTCCAGTTTGTGAAGTTAAACCTCAATAATGATACCTATAGGTTACAAGTGTATTTGGAATCGTGAAATAATGGTTTGAAGAATTATGGTCTACTTCGATATTAGTACTGCTCTAATAATAGACTTAATCCCAAGCTACTAGATTTTTCATGATTTAACTGCCTATTCTATGAGATTTTATGTGGGAGTCACATTATTATCTACACCAACTCATTCCATCGTAACAATCAGCAATATATGATGGAGAATAAGCTTAGGCTAGAAACAGAACAATATATTTAATATGAATAAAATATAAGGTAACATTCAACAGGAACCACGCCTGCAAGGCTGAGCCATGCAATCCGATCAACTCAAATTATTTGAATTCCTTGTTCCCGCCTTCCCCATCGTCGGTTTTTTTCTCCCCGTTAGATGTTGAAAAACTTTTTCCCTAATTGTCTCGTGTTCAGCTTTGATGATTGTATGGTCAGGGCTCAATGTCACTACAGGTTAAATAATAATAACATTGGTGGTGACACTAGTATATGTGTATAAATAAAAAGGACAGTAACATTTAAATTAGAAAGTATGGATATACTGGCCAAATTAAGCCATTCTGTAATTAATACTTCTACTGGGAAATGGGCCCTTATATTGGCCAAGGTAACAAAAGGCATTGGTCGTACTTCCTTTTTGCATACTATCGTGACCTCTAAATTTGAGTAGTTGCTTTTACAATTGGGAGAACTTTGAGTCCTTCAGACTTTGGTAGAAAGTTACCAACCCGATAAAACATTGAGAGTGATTTACTTTTACTGTCGCTATAACCATTGTGAAACAGATGGGCTAGTATTGAGCCAAATAAGATTATGATTATACCCTTGGTTAGTCACGCTATATGTTTACGTAAGTGAAAATGTCGGTTCCTTGAACACTGATCTGTGTTGTCTGCTCGAGAAAATTAGTCAAATTGAATAGTTTGAAACGAGGTGGCCATTCAAAGTAATTCGTTTTTAAGCCTTGGAATGCATAGGAAATTCAGTGATAAATTTGTTAAAAATTATTTTACTAAATCAATAGATTACTTTTTCACTGGCTGGATCACCTCTGAAGTGTATGCGCATGGACGGTGTTTATAATTCTATTCCCAAATGCGTGGTTACATGAGCTTGTGCACTTGCTAGGGTATCTGTTATCTTATCGGTAAATAAAATTTCAAAATGAATATTTCTGTAAGGCTGACCACGTTAGTTCTACAAGACACGCCCTAAATGAAGGCACTCGGTCATGCATCCGCACCAGATCACGAGTGGGTATGTCGAGCTACTCATCCGTTGCAAATACTAGCAAACTTGGATCAATCGCTTCTCGACATATCGGTAAGCCTCCAAATGAATTTTCAGCTTTATTCATTCCTGATTTCTGATTTGACTGTGTTGGTGTGTTTCCATCACAAAGGTGTTACGTGCAAAACATTTTCAAACTTCGAATGCCTATGGCATCTTTAGTGGTGAGCCCGATGTGATCAGGCACAATAAACAGTAAACTGTAAGTATGTTCTTTGTCGGAGCATTCTGTATCATTTTTTTAGTTTTCGGTTTTACATATTGTGATATTTTTTGGATATTGGTGTATTTCATCTTCATCATGACAGAACAGGCACCTAATCTATCTTAGATTGAGAATCTTTTCCCTCCCACGCTTTAGCTCATTCCATTCTGGACGAACAATATGAAAGCTTGGTTCTGCTACTCGGAAACTGACGTTTAGGAGTACGGTGTGACAGTCACGTGCTCGATTTCCCACAGTACAATGCTAATTCACCAAGTACGACACACCTCGTATGCTTACATGTGATGTCTCGAAACCTTCTAAAACTTTAGAATAGGCTATCACTGTACGCGGGACATAAACGACTAACAAAATTTGTATCAACTCATCCACATCATTGAGCTTAGCCACAGAAATGTTGCGAGAAGTCATCAGTCAATGGACCTTGGACGAGTGTCTATTTAGACAACACTTCTTGTCTACGCTTCCTTGACAGGTGTAGGCAGTCCTTGTATCTTTTCAAATTAAGGTTGTAGACGAACCAACTGCACCTGCTAATTGGGTTCTGGAGATCGACAGAATTCCGGCGCCTTTTATTCTATCCCAGAAAAGCTTCAAACAACACAAAAATGAAGTCGCAAACCTCTGTCACACGATATTCGCCATAATCTCAGACGCTCTCAAACTCGTCGAAGAAATGTATCACAATAAATATCTGTTTCTAGACACGGAGAGATGAATAATCTTGATTGGTTTTGGTTCCACAATAAACACGGTAAGTCCTCTTGAAACTGAGGAAATCCTCACATTTCTTGACTTCCGAATCGTCCGACACAAAAAAAGCTTTTGGAAAACTTATAGGGGTATTGGGCTCTAACCACACAATACTCAAAACTGAACACAAGATAACTGGGAAAATAGATCTTAAACATTTAACGCGGATATAAGACCAACAATGAAGGCGAGGAGAATTAATTCAATTCAATCAGATGACATGGTTCAGCCTTGAAGTTGTGGTTATTCTATATAACTTGTCTATACTCACATTATAAATATTATTCTATCCTCATTCTAAATGTGTTCTTTACAAACACACTGATGCGACTTTCACGTAAGATCTCATAGGTTAGGCTTTCACATCATGACATATCAACATTAATGCAGTAGACCATAATTCTACGAAATTGCCCACCGGCACGCGTTAACGGTAATCGTTACTGAAGTACATAGCTGTCTGTTATACATCACGTATATGATAACGAAAGGTCTCTATCTTGTCGACAGCAACGCAGAAGTAAGCGTTCTTCTCGCGAAATTTATCGACCGTCTGCATGCAATAGTCTCGACTTACATGCGACAAACGGGAAACCAATCGTCACGTAGGATAAGATATATATTCATCTTATCGTGGGTTTACTCAAATCCGTTCACTAGATTTTCGTTGCCGTAGATGTTTTTGTTACCGTTCGCCGACAAAGACATGTGACAACATCACATTCTACTCGTCGAACCGAGTAGATGGGGGTTAATAGACGGAAATACTAAGTTATCTGTTTGTGTGATATGATTTTCGAATTGTAGATTATCCGCGGTTATGCATGAAATTGATCCGTACATTCAACGTAAACTAAACGGGGACCTCGAACTTACGAAAGGCGACTAAAATCAGAGTGCGTTATCCGCAGCGTTACACAACACATCACGACTTCAGGTCTACTTGGACTGTTGAAAGTTCCCCCATTAGCTCTAAAAAACTGAGGTTGGCCGAAAACGAATTATACAGCATAAAATATTTGGGAAATATTTGATTAACAAACGGCCCACGGGTATCTTCCTTGCACATGACCTTATAAAAGGACGGAGACTATTGACTTTGGGCTTGAGACTGTTGTTAACTTAGTGAGAAAACCACTCCTGATCGCTTCTCTGTTCCCGACATCCATGAACTAATCGGTAGTTTAAAAGATACAACTGCTTTCTCGAAAAATGATCAAAAAAGATGGACTCCATCACTTCGATTCAAAAGCCTACCATTCTTCTTCTTGTTTCCCATTTCTTTGCACATAAGGGATGTTTTCGGATTCATTATCAGACCTTAGATTACTACTCAAATTACAAGCAAATTAGGTATACAAAACCAGTGAAAATGATAAAACGCTCACTAGAATGGCGCTTCATTGGTAATTTTTGTTTTCGAAAAGCATTGTGAATAGTGGTTTCTTGGGGTTTATGTATCACGAATACTTATTTTATTTTGTTTGAACGCTTAGATTCAGAATATTTTGGCTGCGCTACTATTTCAGTTTCTAATCGGATTTCGTCACGAATATGAATAACAGGCGTAGTTCATCGTTTAAAGAAATAAGTATAGTTCAAGATGCAAAAAATCTGAGGGATTCATTTAACAGAAACTTACATTTTTACGTCGTCAAAGATCGTAATATTGCTACAATGCGTGATTTTTATGTTGCTCTGGCTAGGACTGTCTGGGAACAATTATGTTCTCGTTGGATAAAAACACAGGAGGTTTATGCCACAGAAGATCCAAAGGTAAGATTGTTTTTGCATGTGTTTATTCATGCGCTTATTCTGTCAAGCTATCTAGATATGCTGTCGAGTGAGGATGCATGTGCGAGAATATCATTAGACAAATACTCTCGTATCTTGTGATGATTCAGTAATCATTTCTGCCTAGTTCTTTGAGTTCAAACTTATGTAACGATTCGACATATTTTTTACCAAGAAACTGAAGCAGTCTATCAGTCATCAATAATTTAGCCTAGTGAGGATTTTTATGATGATATTTTTGATAGTTGTTTGGTAAAATATCATATGTAAGAATCAAAGTGTGTAGCTGTGTTATATTTGAAAATACTGTTTGTGAAAAGATTGAATGGGTAGTGAAGGCGCGACACGTGTTCCTTGAATTTCAGAATAAAATAGTATTAGCTTTGTAAGGAATGTGTTTTACTAGCATCCAACCATTCTCACCAAGTGGACTCAGAAGTTGGAGCTACAATGCATATATTTTCTCTTAACTCATTTTTAGTGTGTGAGTAAGTGTAACTTAACTTACTAGTATTGAGAGTGGGATATGTCTTCCAACACTTCAGGCTGGTCGGCGGTCTATGCTCCACTGGGAGCAACAGGCTTAATTTCTTATTACTAAGTTCAGGCAAACAAATCTACTATTCTGGTCAATAAATAATTAACTCCACCCCAGATACATCTAGCTTTCTTTTTTGTAGATTATTATTAAAGTGAATCTTTTATTTGTTTTAACTAAACAAATTTAGCTTTTCAGATTTGTGTAGTAAGGACAGAAGGCCTACGGCCCATGTTATTTCTTTTCTAGTATGCTTCTGTGAGTGTCCAGTCTTCTCTTGAAAGAGTCGGTTGAAGGTGCGGACATCACTGCTTCGGGCAACAGGTCCCAAGTATTGATGACTCGGTGTGTAGTAAGGACAGAAGGCCTACAGTCTATGTTATTTCTTTCCTCGTATGCTTCCATGAGCGTCTGATTTTCTTGAATGAGTCATTTAAATGTGCAGACACCACTAGTTTGGCTAATAGGTTCCAAGAATTGATGATTCGGTATGAAAACCTGTATGACATGGGTATTTTGCTCGTTCTTGGCTTTTCTACTCGCCTGTTGTATCCTTTGATATGTCCAGATCTTGCGGGAAGAGGAAAAGAGGATATATTAGGTCCAAAATCATTTCTTAGTATCCTATACATCAGAATCAGATCACCTGTTAATCTGTAGTATGACAAAGTAAAGAGGTCTAACTTTCCAAGTCACTCATTGTATGGCAAACTCCTAGGTTCCAGAATTGCACGCGTAGCTGCCTTCGGTACTTTTTTTCAAGATATCCGAGTCATTTGTTAAACAGGGGCTTGCAGCCTAAACGCAGTTCTCAAGTTTAGTTCTCACTAAGGTTGTGTATACTGTAATGAACGTGGTAGTATCTAACTTGGTGAATGTCCGTCTTGAACTCTATTGAGTTCCAAGCCCCTTAGCTGCAACGTCGTATCAGTGGACCGTGGTCTTAAAATATATAACTCACTGTAACCTCAAGAGACCGGACCACGGGTACGGTCTCGTAAGTAAACTGGAAATGACCAGTTTTCCTCCTGGGGATTATCAAGTTAACCTAAAGTATGCGTAGGGCACAAACTTGCTTAGCAGTTATGTCAAAGAAATGGACGTTTTTAATACTATACCAAATATGAAGCATAATATACTTTGAAACGACCCTACGCAATACGTCTAATCCAGTACTTTAGATGTGTTTCTGTATTTACCCCTTACTTAAATTCAAAGAGAAATGTAAATGACCGCATTCTTAAAAGCTTTTCACCACCAGCATACGATCCCTGGATATCGTGCAGGCAAGACGTCTGTTTTGTTATCAATAGGCGAGTGTGCCTCACTGCAGTTTACTTTGTTTCACTTCATGATTCTGAAATATGGTGTTTTAGTCGGTCAATTACATGTACCTTGATCCGATATGTCACAGAAGATTAGCATACTAAGATGAAATTACTAAGTTGAATAGCTAAGGAATCTAAATAATGCGGAAGGTTTGACGATATTAAAGACTAAAAGTTGAGCACCTGGTTCCAAAAAAGAAAATGAAAAAAAACATTTGTTCAGGAATTCGTGAATTCGAGGTCTAGAGAAAGATAAAAAGTGGATTTATCTGCACCATTTTTAGCTGATTCCCAATCATGTCACATAACACCAACAACGGATCGCGCTGACCCCAGCCAAGTGTTTTGGATCTACCAACATGACTCTGTAGTGTGGCGTCGAGTCGCGGTTGACTATGATCACCACTACAAAAAGATTACGTACCAGTTAACCGATAGGATCCCCCGTAGGTCAAATATCAGAAGGCAGTAGATGGCTGTAGTCGAGATGTATTTGTTGGCGATCTCGTGGTATCAAAAGAATACCGAGATCATGCCAGGTTATAAGTGTAGTTACTGAGCGTAACCGGATTCGTGCAAGGTCACAATCAACAGAGAAATGTATGTATTTTGGCACAGTTAAACAAACAAGTACAGTAAAACAGTCCCTAGTACAATTGGTTATAATAATAATTGTTTCTATTACATCAGTCGCGTTCTCTTGGTAAAAGTAGGTCACCACAACTCTGCCAACGTTTAATGGACTCATATACTCATGGCGTATTTTATTTTCGACACTACTAGGGATTAAATAAATTACTCATACACCAGCAAACACCGCCCTTTGAGGTAGGCAATGGTTGGTCATATGTAATACATGTTCCGACCATCTCTGTTGACGAATAATCATGACCTCACCAACTGATCCGCTATTTTCATCTCTTACCATAATTGTGGGCAATGCTTCAAAAACATGCATCTTATGCATATCCTCTACTTTCACAGCCCATGTTTTACAGTCACAAAATAGTACGGAAAGGCCTTGACCTCACTATACTAGCCCGTTTTTTGGCAGACGGGCATCTCATGTACATCAAAAGTAACGTAATTTGACAGAATACAAACAGGCTTTCTGAATCTGCATCAAGATCCTAACTAGGATAGTATAGGTCTGAAAAACTCTAGAGGTGGGGAGATTAAGACATAATTTCGGTTCATCGTGTAACTGACTTAGTCTGGGCCGTCTCAGTGGCAGTATACTCCCTAGTTAAAATCTGTTTGAGGGCTTGTGGCTAAAAACTGGTAATATGGAACGGCATCAACCTCAATACCACAGTTACATTCATTCTTCGTCTTCTTATAAATTGCAAGTTTATTGTCATTTGACACTTCATCGTCTGATTTTATTTGTCCCTTTTAAACTAAATATTTGTGTTTAGTTTTTGTTGCAGTGAAACTTGTTTTCTCTACTCTGTTTTTAATCTTGTTAATCTTCCATTAAGCTAATCCAGGGTGTGGAAGCTTGGATCAACACATATTTATTCCAGCTCATAAGCTTACGATAACTAATTAGATACTCTCATTGTTTAAGCGATTTGTGTAGGTTAGGGATGTCTGAGAAACTTTGAAACTATGATGTACTTCATTGATAATTTTGAAAAAATTACAAGTTAAGGAATTCCATATATCCATTAAGATATGGTCAGGCCTAATTAAAGAATACAATATTTTGATACGAAATTATACATGCTGAATAATCTTATGTAACTGAGATATTAACAGTTTTGAGTTACTATGAATGAAATACGGTTTGACCGTTCACATACGTTATGACAAATGTCCATATTTTAGTATTAGTGAATTCATAGGTTTTTATTTTATACAATTAAACGTTTCTAATCATCATTCAGAGAACAACATGATCATGTGGATACAATCATTAAATTATAACTGGTACAGGAAGTTAGTGTTGATGTGTTAGTTCAGTAACAAATGCATATTATGCAAAATGAGTGTGAAAAATAGTATAATCTAGATAGCTATACATTTTTTATCACTTCAGTTTGTGGAAACGGAATAATTTTGTCAAGGTCAACATAGAGCAGGACTCTATTAATTTCATTGTACACATTTCCAAGTTTATGGCCATGACCAAACAAGTGAAGTAAATGACAGGGTGTGCAACTGTCCGTTTAATTAAAATCCGAGACGCTTTTTAGGTGTGTTTTAGCTGTGGTTAGGGATAGCCTTATTTATCGCTTTGAATGTTTAGTAATTTTGAATAATAACCACTTCAAACTAGGATTGTCTCTTCCTTTTCTAATAAGTTTATGGACTGGTCTATCAGTAGAACAGAAAGGACGGTTAATTAGTTCTTTTGTTTCTGACGTGCGAAAGTATTTTAAATGCTTTTGCAGGATTAGACTCATGAAAACAAGATTGATTTTTGTTAGGACCGAAGGACTAAAGTGATTAGCTTTCGTTGGTAAATGAGCTCGAGACAAATAACCTATTGTTGTTTGGTAATATGTGTTGATCTTTTTTTGTAACTGATATCGGAATTCAGAATTTATATTTCAGATTGTATACTAGCAAATGTAATAAAGCGCTTTACTTTGTAAATTCCTTTTATAGATTAGTATCCTCAATAATGAGACTTAGTTTTATGACTTTCTGATTGATTTGTTTGGTTAATAAAAGTAAAAGTAAAATAAGTAAGTGAGGAGCTGAAAGTATTTTTAGCCATTTTGTAATATTTTTTGTAAAAGAAACTGTAATTCTCAAGATAAATGGAGTATGTACATGTTTACTTCCTAAACGTCCGTCGGTAAGTATAATCCGAGAAATGTTGGATCTAAATCACAAATATGATGAGAAAGAGTATTTTATTGACTCAAGAATAAATTTTAGTTACATATTTTATTCTGATCTTGACATATTAGTTTAAAATATTAAATACAGAAGTTTATGTGAATTAAACCATCTATCTATTGGAATACCGACTAAATAAACTTCATAATAGCTTGTATTTTATTTATAAATCAAATAATAATAAGAATGATAGCAAACTGGATTTTATAGTTTATACTCTGTAAATCTTGGGAGACGTATACACTTGCATTTAGTCTTTTCTTTTACTGATCATGCTAATTAGTTCTTTTGTAGATACCTATATATATATATATATATATATATATATATATATATATATATATATATATATATATATGGAGAGAGATTTAGAGGAAAATCTAATTTGTGAACCTGTAATGAAAAAAGTATTATCAACTTTTATATTCTAGATGGTCTACTTTTTATCCATGGAATTTTTTATGGGTCGTACACTGAAGAATACAATGCTTAACGTAGACACAGCAGAAGCTCTGGATGAAGCAATGTATCAAGTGAGTAACAGGCATAAAAACATGATTTATTTCACGAAAGTAAATTCACTACCAGAATGCTTTGGGTTTTGATATTCAAGTGCCAGCGAAACTAGACGTATTCTATGGTCTATAACTACAATTAAAACTTTAAGTGGATCCCGATTGTAATAATGTTTATCTTAGAAATAATTAGGCTTTTCGTACTACCTTGCCTCAAAAGAATATACTTTTAAGAATGAAACAGCTAATATCATTGAACATAACATAAACGGAGTATCTTGAATTAATCATAAATCTCTGTAAATTCCGAAAACAAGCCACAATCATGTCCCACTTCTAGACTTTAATCGGTAGTAATCACGACGTATCCTGGTCGTACTTCGTAATAGCATGTCTGATTAAGTCAATTATTTCTATAGTTTTATTGATATTCAAAATTAAACTTCTAGAGGCTTAAGCTTTCAATCTAGATGTACCTGAAATTATTGTGAGTGATGGTCAGTCTATAACGCGAATTCACTGAAACTGGTAAATATGGATAGTTGAATTATGAACAATTTGCTCATTGGTATAACTAGTCACACAATGAGAAACAGTTGTCCAGTGCTTGCTGGGTTTCATTCATCGTTTTTGTCATTTTTACAAATTAATAAAATCAATATTCATGTTAATCGATTTCTTACATACTATTTATTGGAAATGTATTATAAACATGTACAATTTTACTATAGGTCTTTTAGACAAATATGTGTTGATAAATTTGACCGTAGATTAATGTGTAGTTTAATAGGTCTAAAGATAATCTAATTTATTATATGTTTAAGTCTTTGACGCAAAGAATTGTTTCACATAAAATAATCTGTCAGATGGGTAGGAAAACCATAAACTAATTCTATGCGCTATTTATGTACGAATGAGACATTAACAACAGTAAAATCAGACAAGTTTAATAGGATCAGCAATATTATTATTGAAAGAAAAATCGTTCAATCCAATATTTGTTTTTGTTTTTGAAGAGAAATGAACTTATTTAATGATTTTCAAGTTATACCTAATTTTGATTAAGGTCAAAAGTAGCAAAATACTCTACTGGATCATCGTAAACAAAAATAAACCGCAAATGGGGTTTCGTGGAGATTGTAGTAATTTAACAGTTGAATTCATGAGTCGATTAAAGCTAGACCACCATGAAAAACCCGGAAGCACTGGACGGTCGTTTCGTTCTGCTATGGGACTCCTCAGAAGTACGCATCCACAGTCCATCACGTGAGACTCGAACACAAGACCTTCGCTTTCGCTCGGGAACGCCTAACTACTAGACCACTTAGTTGTCGTTAAACGGTGTTAATTTCTAACTTCAATCATCCCTTGACATTATCTTAGTCGAAAGTCAAGAATATTCCTGAGCTGTCGTAACTATGTACCAGCATAGTGTGGAAAATGAGACAACAAATCTATTAATAGTGCCTTTCTTTATAGCCTAGTGGATAGTGATCACTATATCAAAGTAGAAGCCTTCTCTGCCTTATACCGAGTCTCAAGAAATCTACTAGTAGGAGTAAGATTACTCCTCCTCTACACAGGTGAAGCCATAGGGATTGCATCCAGAAAAATTAACGAAGATTTCTAGACTCGGTATACTTAGCCCCCTTGTTCATTATGGCTCAGGATTCGGACATCTAATCAAATCTCATGTTTATTTCTGCACTGCCCCATTATTGATTTCATGTCCATCTTTCTCAATTGATATGAAATTTTTATAATTATTATCGTAATTATCCTGGAAACATTTCTCCTATTATATATTATCTTCGCACGAAGCTTATTATTATTACTATTATTATTATTATTGTTATTATTATTATTATTATTATTATTATTATTATTATTATTATTATTATGACTATTACTATAATCATCATTAGCATTGTATCATTTAATCACAATGTATGGTTTATGTTGTCCATTGTAATAGAACTATTATAGAATGATAGCTGTTCTTATAGATACTACTTATCAATTAGACATGAGGATATGTTCATAAAATACACTTTTTATCTGATGTGAGATTCAATCAAGAGAAAATGTACCAATCATATCTAATACACTTGTTACTAGATTGAGATTGTTTATTATGTAATTCTATGTTCACTTGAGAATAGTTTCAATGTATTAAATTACTGTTCGGTTTAGCGAACTATGTTTGCACACTTATGAGGGGATATTGTTTAGTTAAGAAAAAAGCACACTCAAGTTAGTGGTGTTGAAGAAAGATTTTCACTGAAAGCACTTCACCTAAATATATCAATATCTCGAAAACACCGACCCATAATTGATAAGCTAACAAAGGAGTATTTATGCGAATGAAAGTACCTCACAGGGAATGTAAAGATTGTCACTAAATGAGATAATAAAAATATCCTTCATAAACTTTGTTATGTTTTTAGAATGTAATACCATATTTAAGCGAAACTTCTGTGGTAGCTTACAATGAAATTCATAATGCACGTTTCGTACTATTCGAAATACATCAGCTTGGTGCGCTTGAATCCGTGTTGATATTCATATAGGGACTCGAACCCAGTACCTATTGAAGCACTCAGCTAGCGATACACCTGTGTCAAAGAAACTGATCAATTTCAGTTCATAACACTAACAACTAAAAAATCAAAGCCTTTATAAGTCAAAATAATATCATTATATTTAAAATAGAAGACCAGCAAAACACACCAACATGTTATATTCAGTATTCTCAAATTACCCGGCTGTTGAATTCGGAAAGCATGTTTGTAATTACTTAGAGTTGATTTAGAAATATACATTCTTAGATGGACAGGTTTATCATCATTCCTAGTTTGTCGTTTATTTAGACAATGTTGAATTTGACACTGACGTTGTTGAATAAGCATGCACTAGTTTAGTTAAGCAAGATTATGAGTTACATGTTAGTTGATATGGTTACCAGTAAACTGAGCATCTGATTTGCTCACAAAGTCTCACTTTTTATAGATGATCAGACTGCCTACTTACGAGTAGCTAAAAGTTACGATGTTTGGTAATTATTCTGACGTAAACAGTTTAAGCTAAATGGTTGCGTAACCGATCTCTATTTTCCACTTTGTTTCAAGGGAGTAGATTTATCCATCTTTTGATTCCGAATTTTTTTATCTTTGTTGCTCAGCACAAATACATAAAAATAATTACAGTATGCTAGATAGAATCACAATATGAAGGTAGAGCACACTTAGTGTCCTTGATCACTATAATAATCCTTTTTAGATATCTGTGTCACCAACCTAACCACGCAAATGCAAACTACAGTCTTCGTTAACTGAACTTCTCTCGGTTGTCAGTAAAGCATGACACAAGTTTGGAATGATATCATGAATGGTACAATGGTAGACCATCATTGAAAACCTGGAAGCATTGTATGGCCGTTTCGTCCTGGTATGAAACACCACAATAGTGCGCATCTACCATCCCTCACACGAGACTGGAACTCAGGACCTTTGGTCTCGCGCACAAGTATTAAACATTTTACTTTCAATTGTCTATAAAAACTATATAGTAATTTATTCCATTAACTAAACAAATTTCACCATCGGTAATAATAATGATAGTAATAATTATAATCTCGATCCTGTTTTTCTGGTTAGAGGTAAATAGCAGAAACGTTCACATTTATTCAGTGTCTTACAATCTGATTACTTGTATAGGCATTCTGCATGTTTATTAGATCATTACAAAGTCGGTTTTTAAATGAATCTTGTTAAGAATTTAACAGTAGTGGAGTAGTGAGTTCTTTGTATGATAGCAAAGTGTATATATGAGGCAACTGAAGTGCTCGATAAAGTAGAACATTCTAGTGTTTTGGTATCTTTGAACTTTCGTAATATGGTACATCAAATATGAGCACTTTTCTAACCTATTGGTAATTACTGCGCGAAAATTCGATGACTTTTTATTTCAGTAATGATCGCTCATTTATTCTAGCTTGGTTTGGATATTGAAGAATTAGAAGAAATGGAATGCGATGCAGGACTTGGCAATGGTGGTTTGGGTCGACTGGCTGCATGTTTTCTTGACTCAATGGCTACAATTGGTTTAGCAGCTTATGGTTACGGAATACGTTATGAAAATGGCGCTTTTCATCAGATGATAAAGGATGGATGGCAGGTAAGAATTTTAGAAGTAAACCTATTTCTTAAACTGCTCTTTGAAATATCTCATTATATTTTAAAAAGTTATAATCAATTGGCACGCTTCTTTTAAAATTATAGGTTGAAGAACCTGATGAATGGTTACTTTATGGTAATCCTTGGGAGAAAGAACGCCCTGAATTCACTCGCATAGTTCAGTTTTACGGTAGAGTTATACGCAATCATTTAGATCAATGTAAATGGGTTGACACAGAAACAATATGTGCCCTACCTTATGAAGTTCCTATACCTGGATATCGTAATCAGACATGTAATACGCTTACATTATGGTCCGCTAAGGGCAGGAAATATTTTGATACGAAAATTGTTCATAACAATGATTATATAAATGTAAGTTACCAAAAGAATATTTTTGACTTATTGTCTGCATTTTACGAATTTACAAAAATTCACCACTCATTTGTGGCCAACTTCTGGATAGATTGCTGAAATTCTGGGGAGAAGTTTTTACCGATAAGACTCAACCCTTATCGGAGTTAATAGAGTCATCTACAATAACAATGAGTGATGGTCTCACAGTGTTGTGAATTATCTGAAATGGAACATGTCAACGATTAAGCACCATTTCATTAGTTCAAAGGCAATCCCTTCATAATAAGGCCCAGAAACCTCAAATTCCAGACTTAGTGAAATCCTAAGTAGACGCTACTGAGGAGCTCGTTACTAAGATGAAATAAATGTTCACTGCTTCCTGTTTTTCAGCGGTTATGTAGCTAAATTCAGTCCATGATATTGTACACTAATCGTTTTGGTCCATATAGTTAACTGTTTACTTTTTGAACTACATCATTTTAGTGCTTTTAGCATATTTCGGTGACTAGCTTTTTCAGAACAGCTTGCTTATTTAATAGTCGCTTGCTTTAATTTTTTTGCAAATCCACTATTTTACACTGTATTAGCAGTAAAATTGTTCTGGTTTCAATTAACACCATTTGATTATCATATTGATTATTTAGGAATAGAAGATAACAGAAAAAGTGACAATTTATTTAAACACAGAGAATACTAGAGGGAAGGGTTATTTTCATAATAACTTCATCATCAGGTTGACTGACTGACTCTACAGTTATAAGTTCATAATTATTGTATTACAATGGCAAAAATATGGAGTTTATTTATGCTTGTCGTACGTAGTTTAGTAATATGCTAATTGGATGGTATTTTTACGATTATCATACAGTTACTTAGTATAAGTGTATCAATCATTTTTATTTTAAACTGATTTGTTTAACCTCAAATAAGCCTCATTGTTTTGATCATTTTGATCTTGCGAATGGAAATCAGTCCATTAATATACATTTTTAAAATCAAACAATTGTCAAAAATGCGATTCATTTATATTACGTGTTTGATACTTGATGAGCGATTATCCTGACTTCTTTGTATTCGAACCAAAACAGTTTGACTACAATACCCAGTAGCATTCAACTAATGATTAAAGAAGTTTTTCGTTTTAATCATTGTATGAGAACATAGATTATTTAAGATTAAATGCTACGTTTGCAAACACCCACCTGTTGTTAGCCTATGTCAAATAAAGCAAACAAAACAGACACGTCTCTTAGTTTGCAAAATTATTGGAAGTTCTGACCCATCAAACATGTGTCTTTAAAATTTTCAGTTCGAAATTCTGATATTAAAATCTGCAATATACCAGCATTTAAATCTTTGAGTTGTATGCAACGTAGAATCTGTTACATGTATGCATTAGTTCACATTGCCACACTTCATTGGCACAGTGAGCTCCCAGAGTAGTAGAAGTAGTAACATTATTAGTGGTAGCAGAAAAGAATAGGAAAAGCAGATATAGTTCAAGAATAATATTTGGAATTGTGGAATAAAAATAACTATGATATGATTTAGAAAGCCAAGATTTAAGGGAAAACGAAGAGTGAATGCACCGGCTGCATTGGGAAAGATTCTGAGTCACAATGCCCAAAGTCCCTTACCTTTGGTTAAGAAAATCTCGCGGAATCCAATCAGTTGGTAGTCACCTACCTAATTGGTCTGTTCTAATTGACACTGATTTCATTTAATGATGCCATGGCTTGATTAGGGTGCCCTTGACTTTTAACGTACGTATACACCAGATAACATCATTCATCAAGGCAGGCGGTAGTTGGGCATACGTAATACAACGTTTAAATGACTAATTTTTATCAAGTATACGCTACAAATCTTCCGTTCTAACTTAACCATTTTTTCGAATAAGAGGACAGTTTAAACTTTTGAATATTTTCGCTTGTATAATAATTATTTATTACTTTGATATAAGCTACTTCGATTTCTGTAAATAAATTCTGTATTGTTGAAGTTATCATTTTACCACAAAATGACACATCTCTTCTTTGTTTCCCCTCACTTTTATGTTTATGAATGAATGTATCCACGGTAAATAAGGTGCTGTTCATATTCTCTCATAACTTATCTTTTTCTTCATTATCTATGCAGCCAATCAGAATTCTTCCTTATCATCCATTTATGTGGCATCAATGTAACACTGAACAGTAAACTGTTTTGCCACAATCGATCTACAAAAAACAGCATAAATTCATGTATTGTTTTGTTAATTTAGGCTTGCTCTGTTCTATTTTTTTAATCCTTGGTAAATAACACATTTTGTCATGTATTTACTTCTCGCAAAGTCTTTAATTCACAATGTTTTTGCAATAATAAAGCCCAATTTAAAGTAAACTAGCATATTCAAAGTGATAATTCTCTTCGTTTTTTAAAAATCTTAACAATCAGGCTATACTTGGCCGTAATGAAGCTGAAAATATTTCTCGTGTTCTTTATCCAATTGAAAGTGCATTCGAAGGTAAAGAATTGCAATTAAAACAGGAATACTTTCTTGTATCCGCTACATTGCAAGTAAGCTGAAACGTTTATCTATCATCCGTGATTTCATCTGTGGTTGTATATAATATGATCTATTTTAGCCATTCGATAATAACTGCGACTAATTGATTTAAACAGTTGATCACCTTAACATAAACATCAAACACAATTTACAGTTGATGTATCATTAGGTGGTGATCAGTGTTACGTGTGTCATGTTATTCTTAGTGCAGATCGAATTCTATCAAACAAGTTGCAATGTAGTCACTGGTCTAGGTGACTTGACACCGCGTGCTCGAAACCTAGGTTCAAGGCTTCCTGTTGACTACCTCCAACCACCATTTCACTAAACAAAATGAATAAACAATTGTTCAAACAGTTTAATGGGTCTTTTTTGGGGGGTGGGGTAGATGAAGAATAGTGAGGATACTTTTAGTTTAGAGTGTGAATCGCTTTCAACAGAGAAAGATATACATAAATCATTTGATCAAGTTTAAAAGTAAATGCTCATATCGAACCACACAAAAAAACATGATGAAACTATGGTGTGTAATGTAATTTTGTTATAATATTAAATAATTTCATCTTATTCGTATTAATTAAGTGCCACTCATATTACTAAATAGTGAAAGAAAACTGTATTACTGTATCTTAAAAGTTCTCAATTCATTTACTTTATGAATTTCATACTGAGTAAAATATGACCTAACAAAATATTTTTATGTTTATATCATAACGAAAGTTTTTTCATTATAATCAGTATAGGGTTGTGGAGATTGTTAAGTTTAGATTGGTATCATGAGTGAACCAATATTAGACCAACATTGAAAACCTGGAAGCATCGGACGTCTTTTACGTCCCAGTATGGGACTTTCACGATCCTGCACGTGGGATTCGAACATAGGGTCTTAGGACTCGTGCGCCGATACTTAACCTCTAGACCACCGAGTTTACATCCAGTGGTGTTAATGTCTAACTTCAGCCAATCCACGATATTACACGATCGTCCACCATGGTCTTCAGTGAGCAACTGCCTTACAACAGACACAGTTGAACTTCACACGCGAGACCGAAGGCTCTGAGTTCGAGTCCTCTTGAGGGATCGTGGATGGATCCCTATACTGGGACGAGACGGCCGTCCGAAGCTTCCAGGTTTTCAATGGTGGTCTAACATCAATCAGTTCATGATCCCAATCAAAAACTTAATAAACTCGACAACCCCATACTGATGAATTCTTAACGTTGAGTATTCATGACCGTACGTCAAACTGAATTCACAAAGTTTGGTGTTCTATGGAAAAATTTTCTTGGATTAAATCAGTCATCCCAAATCACATCACTGAACAAGAACATATCGTTTATAAGCATTCTTGATCTCAATCTTAACTTTATTATATAATTTATATTTTTGTTTGAATAATTAATATAAAATTGTCATTGTTATTTTGTTTTATTTTCTAATTAAACAAAAAAGGATATACTGTATCAGTTTAAATCATCTTATCCAACTTATGAACTATTTGAATTACCAAATAAAGTTGTAATTCATATCAATGATACACATCCAGCATTAGCTATTCCTGAACTATTGAGGATTCTAGTTGATATAGAGTGTATGGATTGGATTGATGTAAGTAATAAAAGTTTGGTAATCAGTCTAAGTATTTTAAATAATAATCGTTATCATACATATATTTAGAAATTTATGGTCAGTCACGTAAACTATTAGATACCGTATTAGTGGTTTGAAATTTCGGCTCTTACTTTGGAATCTGAAAGTCTTGGGTTTGATTCATAGTAGGATCATGGATACTCACTATGAAGGTGTCCTATGCTAGGACGAAACAACTGTCCAGTGCTTTTCGGTTGTCAGACTAATGTCAGTTTTGTGAAGCTAACTATTGTATTTTAAATGCACTGTCAGTCTTACATGATTTTTTATGAAACAAATTTTGGTTAAAACTGTCTAACTCATAGAAATCAGCATAATCTCAAGACTATTTTTGATCTACAAATCTTTTTCCATTATTGTAACTTGTGTACTGATTACACGTGGAAATATTATTAACATTGTGTAGTACACATAAAAATTTTTAAGTATTGTATTCATATTTTTTATTTTATTAATAGCTCGTCATGTTATTCTTACTCTAGAATTAACTGTGTTTAATTAAATAAATAGTATCATAAACTGCATATGATGGGTGTTTACTTCTGTATGATTTAGTTTGTCCTTCAGATATAATACTAGAACTGTAAACGCAATACTGGCGCTCCCAGAGTCTATGTGAAAGCTGTAATCTGAACACGGACAACTTGGCTTTAAACTTTATCTGTTTCTAAACGTAAAAACAATTAAATTAGTACAATAATTAAAGGAATTATAGTCAATAAGTGAAACGCGTAAACATACCCACCAGTATTTCGTGTCTTGTCGAAATGAACAAAAATTATGAGTTACACTAATACAATTGGCAGGTCGCATGCAACAAGAATATTCTACAGACACATCATACCAGATTGACGTGGTGCAAGCTTAAGCAACGATTTGATTGGTTAGTTATAGACATAACTAACAACCTTCTTGTTTAATTTCAAGCTCGTTTAATTATTACCTAGCTGAACTTTCAGTTTTAAGTTTATAACATACTACATATAAGAAGATATCTAAGAAAATTTCAATGATTCCAAAACGAATATGGGTTTGACTAGAATAGTATTGATTGACTAGGCAATATTTGTTTTTAATAACGGAATAATAAGTTATATTCGAAGGATGTATACGAGGAAAATTCATTCAATTTAACTTCAGTTAACCTCGTAGTTTATTACGTCTTCATGACCAACATAATAGTGTAATGACGATTATGAATCGCTATGCTTCATTCTTTTTTTTCAAAAAGCGGTGTCTGTACTACCATCACAGAAATAATAGAAGTTATACTTAAAATGTTAGAATTAATTGCACTCGATACTGGAGATAATTTTTCTATTGTCTTTCTACTCAGGACTTTTGTAAATTTCCAACTGACTTCATTATTTCATATAATTCCCATTATCGATAAATCTAACTAAAGCAGAAACAATGAACGGAGTAGAATAAAATGAATTCATTTTATTTCATGGTTTCTCATCAGCTACTTACAATTTAAACGTTATGATATTATTCACTAGAAATCGGTGTACATAATTTTCATTCATAATATCGAAGAAAGTTTTCATTAATTATTATTATTATATTTTTGGTACAATATAGAATTCTCAGCACAAAGTATTTCAGCGAGTTTCCGTTTCTTATTTCTTGATCGATATTGACGATAAATATTGAGTGATCGCTATTTAGTTATTAGCATTTCAGAAGTCGATATCTGAATAATATTCATTCTTTTCAGTGAACATTTCCAACCATCACGATGTCTCCGATTGTAAATGTTTGTAACTTGTACAGTGAAAAGTTGTAAACTCTTCACAAATGCACCTGGATAGGTTATACAATGAATTAACATAATGATCTGCTAAAACAAACAAGGAAACATATAACTTGTTGAAATATCTAGATGGGAGGAACAGGTAGCCCAGTTATTCAGGTAGGACGCCTCTGAGAGATTCATGTGGAGAGTAATAAGTCTCGAAGAGCTATAACTGATGTTCATATGTTAAATAATAAGAATATTTCTTTGTTGAATATTTGAATATTCTAGAATGAATGAACTGGGGCAATTAGAAATAAAATATTTATGTTCAAACTTTTTAATCCTTAAAGCATAATATAACGTTTAAATTAGTATAGATCAAATGAAATGTGTGAATTAATAATAACTACTGTCATAGAAAGAAGAAATGATAGTATTGGCATAAAGTATATACACTGATTTTTAATGATTAATACTATTATTTTTAGGTGGTAAGTAGTGGATTAGAAATTGTGAAATAAAATGAATTCATGTTTTGTCGCTATCTATCAACAGGACGAAATTACATGCTTTATTACATTTATCAGTACTGATTCTTTTCATCTATTTTACTCTAAAAGGCATGGGATATATGTTCACGTGTATTTACTCATACAAATCATGTATCACAAGTAGAATGTTTAAAGTATTGGCCATTAGATATGCTTCAACGTGTTCTACCTAGACATGTGGAAATTATACGCAATATCGATTATCATTTTAAAAGTGTAAGTTCAAATTTATTCAATGTAACTATTTTAGGGGGAAAATAATGTAACTAGTGGATTTATAAATATGGGTGTTTATTTATTGCCTCATGGGGAAACTCAACAAATTATATCAGTTTTCTTTTTTAATTTTGAACTGTAAGTAATTAAAAACAATTACTTACATACGAAATTCCAAATCGCTCATGCTAAAAGACTAAACGGGAAATATTTTTTAGAACTTAGATTCTGACAATAAAGTTTTTAATGTGTATCTGGCATCATTATGAAAATCCGACATGATTTTTCCAGTAGGACTTGATATTTCAATAAAAAATAACCAAGTTTCTTCAAATATTTACAATTAAAAAGCGGAAGAATATAAATTGTTGCCTATAATAGTGAATATCATACTCTTCCTACTGTTTGTCCGTTATCGTGATTCAGTAATCTAGCCTATCACACTGAACGATGGGCACCGGGTTCGAATATCATTTTAAACATCACCACTAGAATTCAGGCGAATCCGGTTGGTGATCTCAAATAGAAAGGGATGCGTATTCAGGATTTCACTGCTATCCATAATCCAAATAATATAGTCAAATGTCAATTCGAGGAAATATCAAACCCTTTACTCAAGGAGCCTATATACCGACAGAGATTGGCTAAATTTAACCCTGAATATCAGCAACGGAAAATTACATACCCCACAAATAATGTTACAGGTATCATTTTTTGTTCGTTTCAGGGATCAAACACTTTAGGATTGTAATAAAGCTTTCTTATGATGATTTAAAAATAACATGGAAGTGAGTTGTTCGAAATAATTCATAACATTTATTGCTAAGATATCTCTACTTTACTTGTTTCCAATCTAATAGCACCGATAAAAGATGAAGTTTTGTTCAAAGAATAAGTGGATATATTCATAGACTAGATTTTTCTATTGTTAGACAATCAAAGTAGTATTCATAAATTGTCTTTGTTTATCTTTAGGCACTTAATCCCGGGTCATAATGATTAAAGGACTGAAGGAATATTTTACTCGATTGATTGTGATCTCAACTAAGATGTCCTATAATTAATTCAAATCAAAGAGTGGTTTGTAATTTCTTAAGAAATCCCTGCTGATTGTCAGCGTATACTTTAAAAAGAATCAAGCTATCAGGATTTCTATACAATTTTTTAAAATATTTCTCCATCAAGATGGAATTTAATCTAGTGTTGTGCATAATTGTTTGGTCGCCATTTGGATACATTTTTTGATTGTCTTCTCTCTTGATATGATCGCTTATCTTGAAGTTTTTTGTAATCTTTCCTGTCGGCGTGCAGATTACGTCCATTTGTCTGTGTTTTGTTTGTCCATTATTTCGATATCTTCCTAACTAAATGAAAAAAACCTCAAAGATCGCAACCACTTGGAATAATAATGGCATTTATAAGAATAGAGCGAAACTGTATGTAGTTCATGTAATAAAGGTGATATTTTGTTATTGATATTATGCATGAAACCGATTTATTTGTACAAAGGATTTCGCAGCGCCAAACAAATTGATGGTTACTAAGTGAGCCATTTTTGGATTTTTACTTTTTTCCATCACGGCTACAAAAAGGCTGTTCGAATGTCTATATTAAAAACTTCACTGTTAAAAAACTTAGTATTCTTTATCATAGGTCATAAACAGAAGGTGGCCAAGTGACGAAAATCGATTCCAACGTATGTCGATATTTCAAGAGATCAATGAACCTGTTGTTAGTATGGACCATTTATGCATAATTGGATCACATTTTGTCAATGGTGTTTCAATTTTTCAAACGAACCATTTAGTAAATACCTTGTATGTTGAACTTTTATTTAGTATTTCATTCAGTATAACTGCGGTTAATTACAACGTTTTCAATGTTTTATAAGTGCTATATCTAATGCATTCGGTAGTTTTGTTTCATTCATTTAATAAGTGAGTATCACATATTATAGATCTGTTTTTACCAGAGATTTCATCTCAAGCCTCAAATTTCGTTATGAGTGTTTTTTATTTCCTGCGCCGCATAAACATATTCATTACAGAGAGTTGGAGATAACTCCAGACACTTGAAATAAAATGTTTAGTGAAATTTACTCCACATCATCCATTATTCAATCGCCAGAAAGCCTTAGCCCTTAATATTGGTTGTATTTCTGATTGATCATCCGTATTTTGCTTTGGAATACTTGAGTCATTTTATTAATTTACTCGTATGGTTATAACAGAAAATAGTCATTACTTATCAACGTATTCACGAAACGTGTTTATCAGTTATAGTAGGTCACATTTGTAGGTGAATGTTTTATGTACTAAACAAAAACAACTAGTTAGTTCTACACATGGGGTGATTAAAAACCGATATACAACCATTTATTTATTTTCTGTTGATATTTCATGCAGAAAAATATCCAATTAACATAGACCTTAAAATAGTCTGTTAATTATTCAAATTTCTATGGTTTATACATATAACCGTATAAGGGATTCTAACCACATGGACAAAATGAATTTCTCTGACTTCTCAGTACAAGTAATATACACTTTCAATGAAGGGTGATGAAACGGAAGATTATAAAGTGAATTTCAGTAAATAATTAGATATATTCCATTCTTTCATGCAGTTTAATATTTATTTATTTATTTTAACACGTGAATATTGGTACAAGGGCGCAACAAATACATATGCGCCACAAAATAACAATGAAGTTGTGAAGAGATAGAGAATGTAAAGTGTGTACTATAATAAGAAGAGCAACGAACAGAAGTGAGTGTATGAGAGTGAAACAATAATGATAATAATGTGAGAAACAGTTCAGTCAAGAAAAATATAACCAGAAATTCTTTCAATTAAAGAAGTGACGTTCGCTTTCATAATAGAAGTAAAAGGAAGTTACAGCGGGACCGCCACTGGCTTCTATTTTGAGACATGTCTGATAACGTTTCTAACCACTGTTTTATATCATCTATAGGACCCCAACCAGGGAATCGTGGAGGTCCAACACAAGGCAGTTTTTTTTCATACCACGACACTATATCATGCACTGACCACCTCTCCGCTTTTTCCAACCAGTCTCAGCATCTGCAAATAATGCACGACGTGGATTTGTCCGGGACGGCATTCGTAGAATACGTCCAAGTCACCGAAGTCGATGTTTCAAGATAGTGACACTAGTTGAATTATCGTCGCTGTACCCGAACACACAATGTTGAATTACTAACATCATGTTGCCACTGGATGTCAACAATCCCCTGGCGATAACAGTGACTGTATGGCCTGGGTATCGTCGCACAGTAAGACAATATCAGCCGCATACTCAGGGTCGAAAAGTCTTTCTCCGAGCAACAGATCCACACCACCATTACCTACATCTACCTAAACTGTTTCCAGAACGTCATCGATAGCAAAGTTGAAGAGGAAAGGTGAGATTGGGCAACCCTGCCTAAATGGAACAATGGATAGAGGTGCTTGTATGTCTTCACTGTACCCGAGGTGTTTGTATACAGGGCTTTACAAGATCTATTCAAAGAGGAAACTACTATGGAGGACAAGCGGAAAGGGATCAATGAAACACTAACCTCAGAGTGTCATGAGGTTCTGGAACACAACAAGCATCTTCATAAGGAATGGATCCCTACCGAAATTCTGAACAGTATTCAAGAAAGGGAGAACAAGAAGATAGCAATTAACAACGATAAAACAAGAACAGAGCAAGTCAAGGCACTAGCTGAATACGCTGAAGCAAACAAGAGAGTCAAGAGGAGCATTAGAGATGACAAGCATTAACACGTGGAAGACCTGACAGCGACATAGGAAAATAATTCAAAACAAAGAAATATCAAACAACTATATAACACAACGAAGAAACTGACAAAAAATATAGTTAATCAGTGGACCGGTGTCAGAGAAGACAGATTAATGTATCTCCCTCTTTCTCTCTCTTTTAATGGTTGACTAGAATGTGAAGACTTCCACATCTCAGATGAAGCACCATATACAATGAACAGCTTGGGTGCAACTAGTTCACTTGATACTTCAAGTAACTCTTGCTGATAAGTTACTACTAGCTCAAAACCTAGGTCTAGAGTGTCTTCTCGACTACGTCCAACTGCTTATCATAAAAGGTTTTATAGAATATGAATAAAAAGAATTAGGAAATATTAATGTGCATAATGTATTTCTATGCATACTGAACTATCGAAACACAACTACTGAATTGAAACTATATTAATTACAGTTTTTGTTAAAACGAATTTTTTCTTTCGTTTTCTACCAAATATGGTTATTGATACTTATTATAATATTTCTAGGTTACTATTCTGTGTTTAAAATTACTTTTCTTAGATTTAAGGATTTTGCCGATTTATGGCCATCGAAATTTACCAATAAAACAAATGGTATTAGTCCGAGACGTTGGTTATTGGTATGTAATCCAGGCCTAACCGATCTTATTCGAACCACCATACAATCTGACGATTGGGTAAAAAATCTTATAATGTTGAATCGATTGAAAGAAAAATTAAATGATGCAAATTTTCGAAATCGCCTAATATTAATTAAACAAGACAATAAAAATCGATTTGTTGCTTATATGCAACAGCATAGAAATATTCAACTAAATCCAAGTTCCATTTTTGATGTTCATGTACGTAAGTTAATAATATCATTGAGATAGTACTATTTGAGTGCCAACTTAAAAATAGTTTTCTTTTATAAAAAAAATTAAAGTACATAAGTAGTTATAGATTTTGCGTGAAATGGATCAAGATCGATCACAATCACCTAAGTGCAAATATTCTTTGTCTTTCTTTAGATCCTGAAGTTTCTAAAACGTTTTATAATTTTTTTTAATTTCACGAACCCACGTTTTCTCCTCAAATCATATCTCTTATGCTTCATTTTTTCTATTGCTTCCGTTACTATTACCCGTTCTACCACTATTTCGGTAATTTCATCTCGCTATGCTGTGAAAACTTGAACCGATGCACACATTTATGTCCGGTTTCATGTGATTAACTGACTAACAAACGTAGTTATGTTGAGCAAGAGAAAACTATAGCAAGTTATAGATACTGATTTTTTTATTTATGTTTTAATAAAATCATAGGCTTTCATTGTTAAATATTACTTCTAAACAAAAAAATACTTTATGTGATGGAGTATCAAGAGATGAACTATTCTAAACAAAATGACTATGTTCTAATGAGCTACAGCAATTGAATTAGTAAATAAATTTATAGATTTAGTGAAACTTGACGCTGTGTTTATTTTGTTAACTCATTATTAGTTTTTTTTTAAAAAGATGAGTGTCTTTCTTATGGTATTCCTTGAACTTTGTTATACGATCATAATAAACGTTTCCAGTAAACTAGTTTCAAACCAGGCATTTTTCAAGTACTGTCGATAACATCACTTTAGTTTTTGTTTCAAAGATATATATTGTTAGGGACTATAATGAATGTGTATTTCTCCAAAGTAATTATCCATTCCTTCTAGATTTCTTTTCAGTAAATTATTTCAGCTTTCTCAAACGAGTATTTAATTAAACTTTGTATAATTTATCGTGTAATTAAGCTCAAAAGATGGATATATTGTCCCAGCGAGGTTGATTTCCGGTAAACAACTCTTTTTGTTATTCCATCTGTTATTTACCTAATTTGGAAAAAGGATTACTTTTATGGAATTGCTCATAACTTTGCGATAAAAATCTGGCATCGTATAGTTTCAATTAGTCCTTTTTTAAATAAAACCATTAACTCTAATTTCCTTGAAAAAGCTTGGACCAGATTGCCAGGCGAAACGTTGGATTTACTTCAAGTTCTTTCGCTGAGATTTTGCAAATACATTCTTCCTCTTTAATGTCTCACATTAACTGGGCACCCAAATACTGTGTAACTGTTCGATTAAAATTAGACGAAAGTTCCCATTTATTATTCTGCAATCGCATCGAATTATCGAAGAAAATGTACAATTGCCTTAATTCTAATGATGATAAACCAATAATAATTATTTCCTCAAAGGCCTTTGTAGAGGTTTTTGAATTTCGTAGTCTAAACTGATCTTAGTAAAGCAATCATGAAAAACTATGACGTCCTGAACAATTGTCTTGTTCTCATATGGAACTCCTCACTAGTGCATATCTACGACCCCACACACAGGAATGGGGTCTAGGAACTAAAGTCTCGTGAGCGAACACTTAACGTCCAGACCATTGAACCGGTATCTAGTGATATACACAAATCCCACCCATTATTTGAAGCACATAACTACTTCACATCTTACATGGTTGAACTCCAGTGGTCACGGCTTCACTCTAAAACTCCAAGAGCTCTGTCTTGAAGCTCATTACTAGTAAATTATTTCAAGAGCTTTTGTTTGAAGCCCTGACCAATGGAGTCCAACCACGTAAGATGTGTGGTGGTTATTTACTATCCGTTACGTAAATGTTTACCTAATTACTTCATGGCTAGTTCTTTTGATTCTGTTCTAAACAGATGTCTAAATACAAAATAATGATAATTTGTTACCGTTTACAGGCAAAACGCAAATTTTTTTAGCTAAATAATTAAGACCAAGTGCTCTTTTTTGTAGTGTTTATTTAGAGACTTTTCTTCCTTACTCAAATAACTATATCATTTAAATATTTGCTCAAAATCTTTTCATTTGATCAAAAACAGGTCAAACGTGTTCTAGAATACAAGCGTCCACTCCTGCCATGTTTATATGCTATAACTATGTATAACCGTTTAAGAGCAAATCCTGAACTGAAAATGTGTCCTAGAACAATTATTATTGGCGGTAAAGCTGCGCCTGGATACCACATGGCTAAAATGATTATAAAATTAATTAATTCAGTTGCAAGAATAATTGATTTTGATCCAATTACAACGGGTAAACTTAAAGTATGTTTAACCAGTTGTATTTTGAAATAAATATATTTTTACTTGCTTAAAATTAAAAAATAGGGCTATTAGTCACTGAAAAGCCAACTGTAATGAACCATTTTGAATGTTTTAAAAGATATCTTTAGACAGCATGTGTGCTACTTTTATTGACTTAAGTAGTATATGATGTTAATCATCAACAGAAGGTCTGGCAGCAGAGAGACAAGGGGGTCGAACAGTAAAGAATGGGAACAGAATGCAGTTTGTATGAAATTCAAGAACAATGAAGTCTGAGTCATTAAGAGACAATTGATGAACATTTTGCAAATTAAGCATTTACTTCACTGTAACGGCGGCCTGCTTGAATACTTGAGCTACCTGTTTCTGCCATCTAATTATTGCAACAAGTTATCTGTTTTTTCATTTTGTTTTAACGTCTCATTATGTCCATTAATCGCATAGCCTATACAGGCGCGTTTATGAAAAGCCTACGACCTTCCGGTGCACAAGTTATAAAAAAGTACTAGAAAAGACACCGTGATGGTTGGCAATATGTGTTAAAGAGAATGAACATTAATCGTATGTCGATTCTCGAGCTGCTAAATCCTAACTGCCGAACACTAATCAACGAAGTGGACTATCTTCAATTCCTACTAAGTCAAAATATGTATCGTAACTGTGGTGTCATCACAATTCAAGAATCTTGGTTAAATGATTTACAGGCCGACTGCCCAGTATCACTACGTGATTTCAAAATTAATCGTCAGGATCGATCAAAAAATAAAAAGAGGTGTGGCGGCTGTGTAGCTACGCTTGTAAACGTGAACTGGTGTCGATCTTCGTTTGCGTGTTTGAAGTTTTCAAATGACTTTGTCGACTGTCTAACTCTAAGATGTCGTCCAAAACATCTGAATAAATTCAAATATGTTTATGTTACCAATATCTACGTGACTCCATACTGCACATCACCTGCGCTATCTGTTTTCGCTGATGAATTCACTGAGTTTGCTGTCACTGCCTTCAATGATTCACTTTCAGTTGTATGTGGTGATTTCAATTCATGTGACTGTAGCTTCCTTAGGTCACTAGGTCACCAAAATATAGTGGATTTTCCTACCCGTTTGGATGCTCATTTAGACTTCGTTTTCATCAATGATGTGGGCATATATGTGATTCGTAAATGTGCTCCATTGTCTAGCTAAGATCACTGTATAATTCGTGTTCTACCTAAAGTATATGGAAAGCATGGGAAGAGTACACTCTTACATCAAACCAAGAAAGTGAAATATAGGAATTACTCAAAAGAAAATATCCGAAATCTGAAAATCATGTTTCATACAATTAACTGGGAATTATTTACAGATAACTCACTGGAAATCACTATTGATGTTACCACTTGTTACCTTAAATTCTGTTTTGATATTTGTTGTCCCACTGAAACCATTTTTGTAAGTTTTGATCGACTTACATCTTCACAACTAAAACGACTACGGAGGGTGAACGAAAGAATGTACAAGGAGAAAAACTTTAATGAAGTTCGTAAGCTAAATGGGCTGATAAACCTAGAGATTAGACGTCTCAACTCTATGTTTACTCAAAAACTCTTGTCTTGCAAAAACTCTCCAAGTATGTGGAAACTCTTTAAAGAACTTACAGGTGACAGACAGGTTAGGAGCGATAACCAGCTGAATGTTTGTGACTTAAATAAGTCTTTTGTACGTCAGTCATGTTATGTGATGGTCCCTCTATCCATGGGTTTAAATAATAGCTGTGTTCCTACTTTCACTGAAACTGATGTACGAATATGTCTCCAGTCGCTTAATTCATCTCGATGTTTGGGACCTGATGGTATCCCAAACATCCTTTTTAAAAAGTGTGCTGACGTCCTATGTTAGCCGTTCACAACTATCTTTAACAGATCCTTCTCATCTAATCTCATACAGAAAATGTGCAGAAAGATGAAGATAATTCCTGTACCAAAAAAAGTATCTGGTGATAAGAATATTAAATTTGGACCTATTGCAATAACTTAGCCCTTCCTCAATACAATGGAAAAATCATTAATACTTCCACTTCAGCCTGCAATAAACGAGCATATTGATCCATATCAGTTTGCTTACAGACGCAAAAGAAGCACTTTAGATGCTGTTACTATTCTGCATCACAACATAGTGTTTAACTTAGAAAAGGGTAAGAAGTGTGTTCGATGTGCTTTTCTAGACTATACTTCAGCTTTTGATTCTATACCAAGACAACGTTTAATTACCAAGTTAATCAGCCTCAACACTGACAGCTGGATAACCAACTGGCTATGTTCCTACCTCTCTGGAAGGGAACAGTACACTGTGTTTGGAGGAAAGTGTTCAGTCTCTACTGTCTCATGAAGGTGTACATGTAATACAAGGAGCTGTTCTTTCACCTCTTCTTTTCTCTTTTTTTCTGAATGATCTACCATCTTCCACAGAGAACACTTTTGTGAAATACGCGGATGATCTCACTGTATGTATGCCTATCTCTTCATCATTACATCCCATAGGAATGGATGAGTTTTTGTTTCGTATTGATTGTTGGTCTGTTGGTAATGGTCTCATACTTAATCCGTCTAAATGTCAAGCTGTTAACTTTAGCATGAGACATGAACGGAATCTAAACACCATTTTGAGATCCCATAATGCTTGTACCATCGGAGACTGTTTGATAAACACAGTGTCGAAGGTCAATTATCTTGGTGTCACCTTTTCCTCTGATCTGTCTTGGTCTTTCCACGTTTTATTGTTATCGAAGAGGGTTTTCCGTCTGACCTACTACATAAAGAGATTGCATGCTCTTGGGATTACTCTTCAGTTACTCTTACCATTTGTCAATTCTTGCATATTACCTATTATTCTTTCCCGGGCTTTTGAGGAAAGACTTTGCTGTATTGCGGAGAGTGCTGAAGGCAGTTAGTAAGGTGTGTGGTGAATCTTTAGAGGTCATAATTAATATGGTTGTGGATGGACATCTAAAGTCATGCAAACTCCTGGCAGGTGTCATTTTATCAGATACTAGCCATCCCATTCACTCTTATCTTTCTCCTTGTAGATCTTCTGGTAGAACGAGACGTAATTACATTAAAATCCATGCACGCAAGCAAAAGCATAAAAGTTCTATAATACCTTACCTAGCAAATATACTCTGTGACGAACAGGTTGTTAGAGTCAACCTAGTCAATAACCTGCATTCTTAACATGTCTCTAATTTGAAAAGTTGTACAGTTTTTCAGATTTTTTAAACCTTTTTTCCTTTTTTGTCTTTGTTTCTGTTTTTTGTGTAAGAAACTTGTTGAAATACCCTGTGCTGAGAATTTCTATATCGTACCAAAATATGATATTGAATAAAGCCATTAATAATAATAATGATAATAATAATAATACATTCGATTGTCCCCACTAGTGTTTTTGTTCACTACACTACCTGAGATATGTTATCTACTTATACTACACACAATAATAACTATCACCACTTACTTAATTCTAAGAAAGATGTGAATAATATCCGATTTTCCTACTACCTTGGGTGCCAATTGAATGGTTTACTTAAGCATTTGGTCTAGTTAAGATTTACAAATGATCTCTTATTCTTTTGCCAAATTCCATTTATGATTTTTTAAAATTCATAACCAATCAGATTGTGAACGATATTTTGATTTATGAAAATTCACGATTGATGTTGGTCTGTATAAAGACTGTAAAAACTAATATACATAACTATTAAACCATAAAACTGTAATCTATCGAGACTTAATGTAACCAGGGATTGATCGGGAAATACATGGCTGGTTGGTCTTATGTACAATGGTAAATAAAAGTAAGAAAATTTTGACGGCAAGAATATAGTACAGGGACGAAGTTAAAAAAACTACGACAACTTTTAGCTAGGTGCGTTAACGTCTTAGAAAGTGGCTATTGTAAACGTGTAGGATGTGAATAAAAAATATTAATATTACTAATGATACACAGATTCTAAATAATTAATGAATTTACTAAAGTATTCTACCCGTTTTTATATCTGTTAATAGAAAGACAGTGATTTAGAAATTCTTTCATATGAATATAAAAAACCCATATTCTCGAGCTTTTATAGGGACCCGAAAGACTTTTTAGAAGTTCCTACATTGTTCTCTTTTAGGGTTAGGATTAATTGTATCATGGTTGAGATTAGTGGTTAGGACTGAGGATTTAAAGTTGAAATTATTGTTAGGGGGTATAACTAAAAATTTAGGACTTTAGGGTCTGGGTTAGGATCGACGCTACTTGTTCAAACATTGGTTAATTCATGTGTTTTATACAATCTGCGTTAAAGAAACTGAGAACTGGGTACATTCAATACTTTCATTTTCCATCATTAGTGAAAAAAAGTTTTATATCATCTTAAGTTTTTTAACCACTATACAAGGCTTCTCGTTTTACTTAATGTACGATAAAAGTCCACTAAACTCAACTGTCGTTGTCTCGATTCTGATATCCTCGTTTTTATACTATACTTTTACCCATGTAAATGACTGCATTTCAAACTATCAATCCTTAAATAACGTACATCCTAATCATTAGGACAAGGTTATATGATAAAATTTTGTAATGCATTTTTTCGTAGATACTTGAAATTTTAGATAGATTATTATGAAACAATAGTTGTAATTTTTTCACGAAATAGACTGATATGTTCATATTAATTCTAAGAAAGCATATGACTGTGTAGTAAACTTTGTTGACCTTGCGACATTTAATAAACCAACTTCATGTCATAAATTAATTGAGCCTATTCAGTTTAAGTTTGATAAGAATCTGATTAATTATCAATATATAATGAATCTCTAAAATTCAATGTATTTTGTATAGTCTGAACTATCTATGTTTTGGCGGTCTAATAAATCACTATGTTTTCACATTTAAAATGCCTTTGCATCAAACCTTATATTGTTTGTCTATGATTTCGAATTGTATGCTGCTTATTGATACACACTAATTGTTTGCAGTCACATTCAAATTCACCTTTATAAATTGTAAATGGGTAATGATTATTGATTAACTGGTTCTGTGATACGGTTACAGAAAAATTAGGATTTTTGTGTAGTTGCGAATAAAATTTCCTTAATGGTATGGTATATAGAAGTAAACTTGGGCGATTCTTGAAGCCAACTTTTATCCAATGAATAAACACTACAAAAATTCATAGTGTTTAGTTACTGAAGTACTGAGATCACTAAGATTTTAGTGATTGTAGCACGTTTATAATTTTTTAAAGATATCACTAAATAACCTAATCATTCTAAGTACAAAATTTATTCACATTAAAGGCTTTTTTGTATTTTTTTGATAATTATAAAACAGTTTTATGGCAAAATTTTGATCGTCTACAAAAATTTTATTGACTAATTCGTTTGAGAGTTAGGGAGATCAAGTTATGAGTCAGCAATATGAGAAAGTTGTATGTAAAAATTGTTAATAATTTTAGCATTCCTACATCCATGTTCATCGATTCATATGGTGGACTAATAGTAAAATTATTTCCTTACAAGTTTATTGTCGACAGATTAGATTTTTAAAAACTTATGAACCTAAAAACGTGAACTCTTCATACATTTATATTTTTACATCACAGCACACATCATGAACTGATCTCAGCTAGACCACTGTTGAAAACCAGGGAGCAGTAGACGAACGTTTCATACTAGGGTGGGACTCCTCAAGAGTGCGCATTCACAACCCTGCAAGAACGAATCGAAACCAGGACATACGATCTCGTGCGCAAACGCTTAACCTATAGAATACTGCGCCGGTATCCGACAGTAGTGATGTCTATTTTCAGTCAGTTCACGATATTACACAATCCTCACCCATTGTGTGTGGTGGATGACTATCTCTTACCCGACAATTATAATAACCATGTGCTCACTTGTAACATACTGCTGGAAAGTCCCATACCAGGCGGAAACGGCCATCTGGGGCTTTCAGGTTTTAGATAGTGGTCTAAGCAAGACTGTATTTGAATTGCAAAAGTTTTATAATCCTCATAAATCCCCTTTATTAGTAATTTTATACCAATCTTTTTATTACTATCTTTTGCGTGATCAACAATAAATCCCTTTCACTTATAAATCTCTGAAGAATCTGATTACCCTGTTTCCATAAAAAAAAAATAAAATTTCTAACTAATAACTAAGTTACAGAGTGGTCGTCCCAATATATAAGAAAGGGTCAAAATCATCCTGTGACAACCACAGAGGTATTAGTTTAACAAACATAGTATCTAAAATACTGGCCTCGATAATTATCAAACGCCTAACTAAGACTCGTGAACTACAAACTCGAGAGAACCAAGCTGGCTTTAGACCTGGTCGTGGCTGCATCGACCACATATTCACCATTCGTCAGGTTCTAGAACACAGGCATACCTATCGGCGTCCGACGATGGTGGTATTTCTCGACTTAAAAGCCGCATTTGACTCGGTAGACCGCGAGACTCTGTGGCAGTGTCTGTCATTGAAAGGCGTACCTCAGAAGTACATAAACCTTGTGAAGGCTCTTTACTCGAACACTACTAGTCGAGTCAGGGCTTATGGCGGACTGTCATCTACTTTTGCAACCTCAAGTGGTGTCCGTCAAGGCTGTTCACTTTCTCCATTTTTGTTTAACTTCATCATAAACCTATTGATGGAAAAAACATTCTCGTCGATTGAATTCTCGGGTATTGATCTCCTTCCAGGAGGTCCACTTATCGACTTAGAATACGCAGATGACATAGTCCTGTTTGGTGAAGACGCTGACAAAATGCAGAGTCTTCTGGCAGCACTAAGCAACAATGCCAGAATGTTTGGGATGCGCTTCTCTCCCTCTAAATGCAAGTTGTTGCTTCAGGACTGGTCTGGGTCAACACCTGAACTAAGGATAGGGAGTGAAGTAGTTGAACGCGTTGACAACTTCACTTATCTTGGAAGTCTGATCAGCCCTAATGGGTTGGTGTCTGACAAAATCTCAGCACGGATTCGAAAAGCTCGATTGGCTTTTGCCAACTTACGTCACCTTTGGCGAAGGCGAGATATCCGTCTATCATTAAAAGGACGAGTATACTGCGCGGCAGTTCGTTCTGTTTTACTTTACGGCAGCGAAACATGGCCCTTAAGAGTAGAAGATACCCGTAAGTTACTAGTATTTGACCACAGATGCCTTATAAATATTGCTGGCATCTGCTGGGATCACCGGGTAAGTAATAGTGAGGTTAGACGCAGGGTATTAGGGAATGATGGTAAATCAGTTGATGAGGTTATGAATCTTCATCGACTGAGATGGTTGGGCTGTGTTACGTATGCCTGAACACCGATTACCACGACGTGCAATGCTAACCGGGGTAGGGGATGGTTGGAAGAAAGTTAGGGGCGGCCAAACCAAAACGTGGCATCAGTGCCTGAAGTCACTAACTTCTAGTCTGAGCCATGTTGGTAGATGCAGACTACTTGGTTGGGGTCCGCGTGACTTTCGTAACCAATGGTTGGAGACTCTTGGTGACATGGCTCAGAATCGATCACAATGGCGTCGGTGTATACACTCCCTGTCTTCCCTTAAACTAAGAGACTAAAATGACTTCATTCTTTCTGTCTACGAACTAATTCTTTCTTCCTATACTATATCCTTATTGCAACCTTTGACCTAACCACTCCTATGAATCCGCTGTTCATCTTGCTGTGCTAATGAGGTATGGCAACCTGGACCGATGCACATATGTGCCTGGTCCTACGTTGTAGCTGACTGACTGACTGAGAGGAAATATAGTGTATTTAATTGTAAAGTTTCTGCTTTTGTAGGAAATATTACAATAACTTAGTTTGCTATCTCGTTAGTTTTCTTTTTGAGAGTTGTAGTAGCTCAAAATTACTTTTTATTGCTCATGAGGATCCATTATTTATCAAGAAAAAAATTGATATTATAATAACTGTTGTGATTAAAGGATCTTTAAATTACTAAATTAATGTTTCAAATTTATTCACTGTGACAGCAGTGTCTAATGATTCAAACTATGATAACTGTTTTAAATATGTTTCCCATGTCATATTTCTAATATAAGTATTAATATATATAATATTTTTAAGTTGACTATAAGCTCTCTTGTTAATACATTGTTTTATTAGCTTATATTTTTACGAAACTATCGGGTCAGTTTGGCTGAACGTATTATACCCGCAACAGATTTATCTGAACAAATTCCATGTGTTGGAACAGAAGCATCAGGAACAGGGAATATGAAGTTTATGGTAAATCCTAGGTGAAAAACATTGGTTATAAAGTTTTATATTTAATTTTTATGTATCAGTAAAGTACGTTTTGGTTTTTAAAATTTTATCTTATATTCTTTGATTTTATTTGGTTAGTGATAGAACTCAGGGTATATGTTTCCATTGTATTTGGTATTACTCAGCTGATTTTACGTGCAATACCTCACCTTTCGAATGGTTCATATCTCTTCAGCAACTGATCATTTTATATATGAGAGCTAAGAACAGGAATGTACATACCCTTACGACAAAAACAGAAGGGTTTTCAATGTACGTGAATTTGATCGGTTTCATAAATTTAAATGAAACAAAAGTGGAGAAATTTTCAGAAAATAATCATTTTATTGTATTTTCACGTATTCACCTCATCTGCATGTGAACTAATAAATATCCTAAAATTGTAGAAGAAAAGGTTTAACGGACTCGATTTTAATTATAGTTCAAAGAAGATAAGAAGCCATTCACGTTGCTTAATTGTTTTTGCTTCGTTAAATAAAGATTAACCTTACGATCGGACATTATAACTTGTAAAGTTAGAGAATGCAATTAACTAAAAATAATTTGTCTCACTATACAGACTTTGTCATTTACACTTTGTTTACATTTGTAAAAGCAAATGGTTGTCCTGAATTATTCAAAATAAATGAATTCCTTTAAAAGAAATTTACACCTATAGTCTACAAATTATCAAATGGGATTTTAAAAAATTCTATTTTACTGCGTTAACTTTCTAGATTCTTTAGAACTCATAAGCTACCTTCCTATCTTCTGAGTATTTGTCAAATCACATTGTTTTATATAGAATCGTCAACAAAAAATAACCAACGGTCTTTTAGAAATTGATAATTGGTTTGTTCATTTTGTTGGAAACCTTAACGCTCTATATTGATTAGAATTTATCGATTAGCTGCATCATATACAGCCCCAGATAGATAAAATAAAGGCATAATTTTTCTCAGATCCTTAATGAAAGATAAAATACTGAATTTTTTAACACTTCAATCAAATTATCTAACAAGGTGTTTGAAGTTCAATCTGAAGAATTGTATTGTGTCACAACCTTAAAATTCCTTACCAGGATAATTAATACAGAAGCCCAACTAAAAATGTTTCTTAACTAACTCTCTATTATCAGGTCGATAAATAAAGAGACCGTGCGGCTAGTTCATGTTAAACTTGATTGATAACAGTGTTCAGTTTCATAACACACATATTCTTCAGTTCAAAACCATGACAAAAGATAATTGCTATGTCATACTAAGAATTTGAAATAATAACACCACTGTGTGATGATGATGATTTTATTTTATTATACACAGAAGTTAATATTGATTCTGTTGTAATACATTTGAATTGAAAGATAACACTTCACACATGGACAAAACTGAGACATTAGGTAGTGGAGTAAGTGAATAACTTCAAAGGTTACTACAGAAGAATTTCATCGATTAAATGACTTACGACAATCTTAAAGGATGGACCTTAAGTATCCTATTTATATGTAGCATAGCCAAAGTAGACAAACTAATTACCTCTATGATAAACAACCAACAGACTTGAGTCGACTTGCAAAACGTCCACTTTCAGTGAATAAAAGATATCTCTCGAGTTTGCTTAATTGGTTGACTTACTAAATATCGCTTTAAACAACTTATATTTCCTTACGAATTTTACTAAAACTTTTTAAGACAAACTGTTCTTTAGCATCGCCTTAATTTTCATTCGGTTTGTTTAAAGTATTGGAAAAAAGATGATAAATCAATACAACGCTGGAAAAATCTTTTAATGAATAGAAAAATTATAACCTTAAATTTAAACCGTACACGTCACTATGGAGGGAGTAAGTTAACCAGTATTTGGTGTAAGTTAAATGGCAAATCAGATTTAATTGCGATATATATAGTTAGTGAAAATGTGATTTAAATTGTATGATTATAAGGATAAGTTTATTAGAATTACGTTTTAAATCAATGGATTACATTTGGGATAGTTTGATCATATGGCAAACTGTTAAGACGTGAAAAATGAAGGGTCATAATAGACAAACGGGAATTTAAAAACAACATGAACAATAAATCAAACCATGAATCCCTGTGGATAGATGTAAATTGAGATAAATGGGTGTCGAATGCTCTCCTGATTTTCAATGATTATCCTGATGACATCTCTGTATAGTGAAAAGTATTATTGAAATAATGATTTAGTGACACAGTAACACCGGATACTTGTTTATTCAGTAAAATTCACATAACACATCGTTCAATATACTGAAATAGTAAAATGAACAAATAAATATTAGGTAGGTTAGAATTATGTTATGTTATAACTTCTAATTTCATTTAATCGATACCGAATTATTAATCTCATGAACCGATTTCACTGAAACAAGTTGTGACTTTGAGGCGCAAAATTACTAGTGTTTAAAGAATAGTTTTTCTAGTAGTACGCTAATTGTTTAGCTATAAATTTTCATCAGTTTTCTCGTCTTTGGTATATATATATATATAAAACAGCATTTTACTTCCACATAGTAGATGGAATCCAGAACCTTCAGCTCTCGCTCTCTAGCGGTTGACCATTAGATTCTTCGATTTTTCTTTTTAAAGTAGTGTTAAACTAAGCCTTCTAGTGCACGTTTTTATGTCTCCATAACTTCTTCGTTTTCAGTGTTCTCTTGCTTTTTCGTATTACTAATTGCTCATCCATTTTTTGTTCACATTTTTAACTAGTTGAACGGTGCATTAACTATTGGAACCATGGATGGATCAAATATTGAAATATTTCAAGAAGTTGGTCACTCAAATGCATTTATCTTTGGTCGTACTATTGAAGAAGTCAATTATTTGCGGAAAACAGGGCAAGTCAATGAAGCTATAAATCTTACCTTTTTTAGTAAAAACCTTTTATTAGTAATCAGAAGAATTAAATTATAAGGAAAAATTATCATTTAATACGCGTTCAAGTTAATAAAATAGACTTGACATACACTTTTGAGATGGTGGAGATTTTTAGCTCAACTGGATGATTTAGGTGGAGTTTTGTTCTCTGTACTAGATGGGTTTAGTCGTGGAGATTTCACTGTTATTCTGAACAACATCATCAGCACAAACATAAGATAAAAGTGAATTATTCGAATTTCTATCCAATCTATCGATCAATCAGAAAAATCATGGACAAACATATGACCAAGAAACAAATCAGAGGGAAATACAATCAAAAAACAACAGTAACTAATCAAGGTCGAGGTCGACATGACAAGCTGTGAGTCATATGTAGAGAAATTCAAACACTATGTAGTAAGCCCATTTAACTTTTATTATTTGTCAGCTTGCTGTAATTTAGATATTTAATCCACTATGTAAAATCACTTGTGAGTTTGATTGAACGCATGTCTGCACATCAATAGTTATCTATTCTCTCATTGATTGTAAACACAAACAATCAATAATTTGTCTACAATCGATTAAGACTCAGAAATATATATGGATTTTTAACACTCACCCTCACTAGTTTCCCTGTGTGCTTGCTCTCTGCGCGCTTGCGTATTTTTACCAATAATTAACAATAAACTATCTCTACAATGGGTGCTCAGGCTTTTGAATAATCTTATGTAAATTCATAGTACTACTAGGAGATTTAGTCTGTGTAAATACTCAGTTAACGGGATCGTGTTTATTGGAGTCAGCTATAGAGATATTAGCCTTTAAAACCTCATTTCTACCTTATGTCGATGCTGATGATGTTTTTCAGAATAACAGTGAAAGCTCCGCGACCAAACCATCAAGCTCAGAGAAAACTCCGCTTAAACTTACCCTTTTGTACACGAAGCTCCAGTTTTTAATCATTATCGCTAAAAATTCAGTCGTTAAAAAGACTGAGCTTCATATCTAAGATCACTGTTAACTATTGAGAAAGCAGGATAATAAGGTGAAATTAACAAGCTTCATCTCAAAGTGATAGAAGTTTCAGTGACGTCAGTGTGATAAAAAAAAAGATTAGAAATGAAGAATATTGTTTGATAGGAAGTTTTAAAATGTGGAAATTGATAAGTCGTGTGGGTTGAACGCTATATACGATTGCTAAGCTATTCCGATAACCCGCAGTCTAGAACTACACAGCGACTTGAACTCCAGAGAGAAGACATAAGAATGAGAGAAAGCACTTTATTCCAAGGTTCATTTTTGTACAGAAAATCATGGGTATTTATAGATTTTGGCGTCTGTTAAATCAACATCATTTTACAGCCAATCCGATAACAACACATCATGCTACCGACCAATAGTAGCACGCCACGTTGGTATTCTAGAACGTTCCATCACACTCTGATTGGCCAGGACTCTTCGGCTCCTTGTGGGCCTCTGGAGGCTCCGTTGAAGTTCTCCGGAAGCCGACCCAACACCTCCCCCGAATAAGATTTCTTTCTGGGATCCACTTGTAGTTTGATAACTGGATTGCGACGGACGCCCCGTTATCTTGAATTCGTCTAGTTTGTCAGTATGTCGAAGGAACGCTGTATTGTACATTTGTAATTCTGTTCCATCAGTTATCCAGTGTTTCTTTAGTTTCAGTTTCATCTTGGCAACCACCGGTTGGTGGTGATCTGAAGTTATGTCAGCTGCTTTCCTGGTTCTCACGTCTTGCATTGACCTTCTGAATTCTTTCACATATACACACTATCAATGTTTGGTGAAACAATTATTCATTGACTGTAATTCTTGTGTCAGAAATACAAATCATATAACGTTCGTCGTTTGGTAGGTTTTTGTCTATCTTGCAGGTATATTATGTACCCGGGTAGTTAAGAACTGTAAATGTTATTTTCTGATAAAAAAGAACAAGATTAAAAGTGAGCGGACGAGTCATCTTACTTCAGTACTTACAATGAACTCTGGTGCTTGAATATGACTATTTCTTAGACTTGAGCCTTAATTGTATTTTCTACATACGTAATCTTGTTTTATAGATAATCATTTACGACTCGAATGTTCTCTGTTTAGTTCAATGTTGAACGATTTGCATTACAGTCTCTGTACCTTGCTATAGACCACTTTTTTATTATTACTTTCTTCCAATCATTTATTGCTCATTCTCAAGTTAACGTCGCATTATATTCTGACGTAACTTATCGGTTTTAAGTTGTTCCAGTCCTTTAACCACAAAATATTATCACCTTAGATTTTTATTGTAATATTAGACTGCGTTTTTCTCAACACTTTATTAGATATAATCCAATGAGATATGTATCTTCCAATCCAGAACTTCGTTTGTGCTTAGATCAAATACGTGATGGTTATTACTGTCCAAATGAACCTGATTTATTTAAAGATCTATATAATAAGCTAGTTACAGAAGATAAATTTATGGTATGCGCAGATTATGGTGATTATATGCGTGCTCAGGCTGAAGTTGAATCAGCATACAAGGTAGGATTAATTTAAATTCTCTCCTTATTAAACAGATTACAATAATTTTCCTTAACAATAATAATAATAATAGTTTATGATATCCCAATGCTTAATTTATTTAAAACTATCAAGTGCACACTTGGTTTTTAATACCTATAAACTAATTGATTTCTGTAATTCTGTTTTGTCTTAATAACATACTTCATGCATAGAACTTAATTCATCTTTTATATTTGTAAATGTAGTTTTTATTATTATTATTATCATCAGCTTTACTCAATATTATATTTTTGGTACAATATAGAATTCTCAGCGTAAAGTATTTCAACAAGTTTCCGTTTCTTTCTTCTTGGTCGGTCCTGGTGATAAATATTGAATGATCGCCAGTTAGATGTTAGCAGTTCACTAAATGAACATCTGAATAATGTGCATTATTTTCGTTGTATATTGCCAGCAACCACATTGTCTCTTATTGAATTTTTTGTAACTTTAACAACGAAAGGTTGTACACTTTTCAGAAACGCAGCAGAATAGGTCATGCGATTAATAAACATAATGATATATTAAAGCAAACAAAAATAGATAACTTGTTGAAATATCTAGATGGCAGGAGCAGGTAGCCCAGATGTCCAAGCAGGCCGCCCTTTGTGAACCACTTCAGTACGCCCAGCAAACGTGAAATATATAACAATTATAATTCAGTGCATACAATATACGAAAAAGCGTTGTAACAGATTTATTTATGAACATTTAGTTTTGTTCTTTGAGAGGACTCTTAACCATACATTTATTCAAATTCAACGATACAGCGGTTAAATTATACTAAGTAATTGTAGTAATTTCTTTTTAATTAAGATTTAATTGAAAATTAATATAATGAAATCCTTTTTATTCTGAAAAATAAAAGTATTAAATTATTTATATTGATTTGTTGTTGATGGTTTGTTGTTTGTTAGGATGAAGTAAAATGGTCAAAAATGGTTCTAATGAATATAGCTGCAGCTGGAAAATTTTCCTCTGATCGTACAGTACGTGAATATGCACGTGATATTTGGAGAGTAGATCCAGTTATTGTAAAAGAATCTATAAAATGTAATTCAGAAAATAATAACAATCTAAGATTCTGTTCCAATAATTAAAGTAAGGAGGTAGAATGATAAAGAGAACAATAGACGAGTACAATTATTACTTTCTTTTTTTCTTTCTATACTAATATTTCTTATAGTTTTATTTGTATAATCAATACCCTTTTTCTTTGTTTATTTGTTTGTTTTTATTTTTTTTAGGTTAATTTGTTTTTATTACAAAAAAATGTTTGTTATAAAAAATTTGTTTGTTTTGTTATGATTTTTTTTAATGAAAAACTTTTCTTTTTTTAAAGAAAAAAAATAATAATAAAAAATTCATCCAGTTAGTGATGTGCAATTATTTTTAGAAAGATTATTTCTAAAACTACATTTCGTCTATATTTCAAACTCAACTCATTTATACAATGATTATTGACTAATATTATTTTGTTTAAACAAAACTCTGTTTTAAAAAGAAATATATATAGAGAATGTTTCACTTGGTTAATGAAATCTCAGTGATTGTTTTATACATTATGGTTATGTTATCAAATTTAGTTGTTATCTGAGTTGACTATGATTGGATTTGTTTCTTGTTTTGTTTTTGATATTAAGAGTTTTATTGTTATGGGGTAAATTAAACTTCATAGACTTTCTCTCTCATATGAGCTAAATAGTATATTTAAATTTTGATAAACGTAAATTGATTGTTTTATTTTGTTTTAAATGAATTTTTTTTTTGGAAACAGATGAGTCGAATGAATGATTAAATGGTTGCCTTAGTGATTTAGTTGTTTAATTGTCATTACAGATTTTTTTTCTTTTTATGCATTGTGTATTATGAATATTTTTACTTATAGAGGAAAATATATCTGATTAACTTTTTAATTTGACTTCATTTATAAATTTTAATGTATTTCAGAAGCGAATCATTAACTTAACTGAACTAACCGCAAATCATTTTATCAATTTAGATCGACACTGCTTATTGGCGTTTAATGTAAATTTTATATGATTATCATTGTTTTTCAAAGTGTGTATTGAAAATGCCACAACAATGATTTTTAATGAGATAGATATACCGTAACTTCTTAGTTTTATTCTATCTTAGCTGTTATTTTACCAACAGGTTACTTTCTATTTAATTGTCAATGCTGTATTCATTTAATTCAACAAATTGTATTTTTTTTAAAGAAAAATTAGTTTGTATATAGTTAGGGAGAAGATAATATGATACAATAAATTCTGCAAATTCTTGAAGTTTTATTCTTGTTTCATTGAAACATTACGATGTTTCATGTAGTTTACCCATCCTGTTGTACTTTCAATAGAGCCAGACTATTCAGAACAGATATCTGATTGCGAATTCTTTGTTACACAATGTGAAATAAATATTTCAAAGATTATTACTTAAGATATTATGATATTCAAAAGATATTATGTAAAGTGTATGTTGCTTTGGTGTATGAATTCTGTTCATAGTTTTATGTAGTTACATCATTAATTAATAGATGGATTATCGAGTGGTCACTTTTTCATTCATTCCAATCATTTATATCTCGTTGAGGCTTCATATCAACGTTTTTAAAGTTAGTCAAATATAACCGAATATGCATGACAGACAATAACGATTTCCTAGAAATCTTGTATTTATTAAATTATAGTTCATCGGGATTTGAAGCGTTTAAAATCACAAGACCCAACAAAATACTAACCGAATGCAAAAAAAACTATTTTGATGTACGATAATTTTTCACTGAAATAAAAAGGTTTTCAGCTTTCTTATAAAAGATGAAATCATGCGGAACGCCGGGGAAGTCTTGCTTACTCTTACTCCTGTTACTTCCAATGGAGAATAGGCCGCTGACCAGCATTTTCCAACCCATTCCTGGACTCTCCTTTCTAGTTCTATCCAATTCTCCTCATATCTGTCTCCATTTCTCGGCGTAATGTGTTCTTTGGTCTTTCTCTTTTCCTTTGGGCTTGCCTTGTGACGCAGGCGGGAGTGGGAGTCAGTATGCATTTATTAAATCACATAAATAGGTTGAAGAAAAATAAGATATGTTGGTTCTTTATAGAAGAAATAATTTTCCAGACCTGTATTCACCTTGAAGATTCTTAAGGTTATCCTAATGATAGACTTACAGGATTAAATGATATATTTGTAGTGTATTATGAATGCACTACTTAGTCATACTTGTATTCTTAGTCAGAAATATCTTTTAAAAGATCACAGCTTTATTCAAGATAACTCATCGTGTGCTAAACTAATGTGATATTGGATAGCTCCTGAATTAAATAACTTTGCTGTTTAGAAGCGGAGAAGTTGCTCGAGGGAAGAGCACAAATCACTATGACCAAAAAATAATTTAAGTTTTTATATTGTTTTTGCCCTTCATAAAGATTGTATTTCTATTGTTAGTTGATTTGATAACTAACAAATGTTTTCCTCATTTGTTTGTAGTGAATAAGATTATGTTGCGCTTTATAATTTAACTCCTTTCATATAATTATATTTGATAAAATAGACAAATATATGAATACTGAATATGTATTTACTGTTTTTTAAATGAACACACTAAAAATAATAAATCTAACAGAATAATTTGATCCCACTTTTATGGCCGATTTGTATAACCATTCAGAGAACAACGACTAAAACCCAATTCAGTCAATGGACAAAATGACTACGTTCCAGTGAAGGAATTTCATTTACTATAGTTGTACATTCGCATTTTCTATATACAGTAGCCTATGAAAAAAACAGTATTATTGCTTTATGAACAAAGATGCCAAACGTTGATCAAAGTCTGAAGTAACGTAATAGTCAATGTGAAATAGAAATGTAAAGAGTATATTAAAGTAAGATATGAAGAAGAGATTGTCCGTTTGACGAATATAAGGAAGATATAGTAGAAAACCAACTGGTTCCAAAACAAATTACAATTTAATAAACAGGGTTGTTAGGACCATGTTAAACTAAGAGGTTTTGTGTATGGCTTCTGAAAACGAAGACAAGACAAGAATTGATTAATTACTAAAGCCTCATCTATGAATACGTTTCTAATCTAGGTTCCCTTAAGACCACTTCGTTTCACCTAATGAATAATTTTAAATGAAGTCTCCGTTACAGATAAATAATCAGAATGTATTAGATGTCCAATAATCGAGCTACAGACTAGTCTACCTTTCTATAATTATGAGAAGAATTTCTGGTTCAATTTGTGATTTAATTAGCAAACAGTTCAGTAAATGTAAATTTTCATGGATATTTCATAATGAAAATATAGTTTTCCAGCTACAACTTATGTTAAATGAATAGTAAACTAAACCCTTTCTTACAGTTAATAAGATATTGTCAATACTCGTATTTTATTATCATAGTGTGTTTCATTCAAAACTATCTGGCAACAAATACTTTGTATCATGTTTTCGTTATTGTGTCATTGAGCTACTACAACAGTCTGCGTTACACCAGTTAATTTTCTTCCAAACTTATTGCTACACTTGAATGACAATTTTTTAATGATGAGTTAATGGAAGTTACAGTCAATTTTTGTATTTTTCTTGAATCTATATGGATGACTCAATTCAACATGAAGTTCTTACTTACAAATGACTTCAAGATCAGTTGGTATTGTGAGGTGTTTGGCGATCCAGTGGATGTTTTTTTAATCTGTTATGCAGTCGGCCCTGGTAATGTTATCAAGAATGACAACGAAAGCTTATAATTAAATCATTCAACTCAGTGGACACAAGGCTATTAAAAGACAAACATGGCATTTTTTTATTTAGTTTTTAATGCAGTCCTAGTTTCAATAGTTATTTTTAAACAGCTTAATTACGTAATCATTATCACTGAACAATTTTGTTGATAAGAATTTTCGGCGAGACTAATATTTATGAACGAACCAATCAGATTTAGATAACAGGTCTCAGACTTTAGCGAGAAATTCATACACTTATTTGACTAAATACTATTTCGAAATTATAGCTGATGTCAATTCGTGATGAAAACCATAAATCTAATTCCTAACCTTAACCATCAACTGGAAATCACAAATGTTATTCCGCACACTGTTTTATAGTCCTCATTTAGTCTTAATTATTAGGTGGGTATTCTCAAGGTCAGTTTAAGATTGCTCAAAGGTCGTTCATAAATTATATTTTCATCACATATTCATTTATCTAGATAAAGGGATAAATTATAAAACTAATGTAACACTAATTTTGAAAAGAGCAAGAACAAAGATTCTAACAGAATAACATGAATTCATTTTATTTCGTAGGTTCTCGTCAGCTGCTTACAACCTATAATATTTAAAAGATAATAATTACAAAATGAGTTTGAATTGCTTACATGAGAGGGTTTATATTGAAGAAATATTCGAAAAGTATGACATGGGTGTAAATGAAATTAATAGGCTGAATATTGTAAATATATACCTAATGTGAAAGAATATTCTAGAGCATTAATTGTGACAACAGTTCAAAGGGGTAGAAACAATTGATTACATAATGAATAAACATTGATAGGAACATAGTGAGTAGAGTTCAGTTGAAAGACTATTAATTTTTAAAGATAGTTGGAAAACAACATGTTCATTAACTCAATCAAAGGTTGATAAGCATCCTTTTCATGTTACCGTCAATTGTATTTATAAATTTACATGTACCTGCCAAAGCAGCTACATTGGCCGAACAGAAAGGAGGGCATATCTCAGATTTTTTGAACATGTTCCAAAAAATCTCAGAACAAGAGAAAGAAAGACTCTAAGTAGCGCAATCACTAAACATCTGTTTGACACAGGCCATCAGGTTGACACCCTACAATCATTCAAGGTTATTAGTAAGCAGCCAAACTCCAGTCTTCTAAAGTTTGCTGAAGCAGTTGCTATCAGGCGCCAAAAACCTGATTTATGTGTTCAGAAGGAGGTGATTGTTAATCTTTCCCTGCCTTGGTGACAAATATTCTTCCGCTGCAGCTTAAAAAATTTTTATTATTTTAATTTTATCTTTTATATTTATTACGTCATTGATTTTATTTTTTTCAACTATCTTTAAAAATTAATAGTCTTTCAACTGAACTCTACTCACTATGTTCCTATCAATGTTTATTCATTATGTAATCCATTGTTTCTACCCCTTTGAACTGTTGTCACAATTAATGCTCTAGAATATTCTTTCACATTAGGTATATATTTACAATATTCAGCCTATTAATTTCATTTACACCCATGTCATACTTTACGAATATTTCTTCAATATAAACCCTCTCATGTAAGCAATTCAAACTCATTTTGTAATTATTATCTTTTTAAATACTATAGGTTGTAAGCAGCTGACGAGAACCTACGAAATAAAATGAATTCATGTTATTCTGTTAGAATCTTTGTTCTTGCTCTTTTCAAAATGATAAAGGGAACTATGTGTATGAAATAACACTAATTTATTGTATTAATTAACATTTAGACAAATACTTAAAAATTGATTAATACACATTTCGATTTAACTGGACCTTATAAAGATTCAGTTTTGTACCAATAAAAAATATAAAAAATAAATTACATAAATTAATTTCTGTTTGACATGATACTATTTTTTAATTAGTTTATAATTATTAAACAATCTATAATCAATATTTTTGTAGTTATGTAACTATTTTTGTTCATTTTCAATTGATTAACAAAGTCATTTTTAATTACGTGGTTTCAGTTTACAATATTCATGAAATTTGTTTATGAATTAAATGACATTTATATAAAGCTAATTAAATGTTGTTTGTATTTAATCAGCTAATACTTAACTATGTGTAGAAAACTTATAATTATATATTCGAAATTGAGTGACATGAAAAACTAGTTGAATCCAGAACATAATATCAACAAAACAATAAAATACATATATTGAACTGCATTGATTCATTATGCATGAAAAGCATTTGACATCACTCAATTTACCTGTACATATGTAAACACAAGATGATACTGATATCAAACTCTTTTAAACGTCATATTCAGATGGCTTGTATAAAAGAATAAGATCAAACTGAAACATAGGGATGACATTAAACGATTCTAAAATATTATCTTGGGAAATCTCAATCACTTACCACGTCCAAAATAGTGTTAGGGATGAAAACTAGGTGTTAGGGCTGAGAATCATAAAAAGTGATTAGGGTTAGGGTTTTATTATCAACTGGCATCAGTTATAATACAACTGTAGTGACTCACGTTTATCACGAGAACACGACTGGTTTAATAAAAACAGTTATTATTATAACCAACTGTACCAGTGTTTGTTTTAATGTGCTTTTGTTTGACTGTGCTAATGACAGTTATTTTGTGCTTCCATTCATATACTCACACTTTGATTGTGACCTCGCGCGAATTCGGTTACGTTCTGTGACCAAGCTTGTATCCTGGCACGATCTCGGTATCCTTTTGATGCCACGAGATCGCCGGCGAATATATCTCGATTTGGTCCTTTAACTACGTTCTGATATTTGGCTTCTCGGGGATTTTATCGA